GGGATCAGTAGCAATTTTAATTTCACCTATTCCTTAATAAGCACCTAAAAGATGATGTTGATCTACCAATAACCTGCAGAGAAGACTTTGTTCCAATTCTGAAGGATTGATAGGAGCAGTTGGAGAGCTTTGAACAGTTGTTCATTCAAAAAATTTTACCTTTCTCTTTTTTGAGAAGCATAATGGTGTAGTGGAAATGAGTACTGGGCGTGGAGTTAGCCCTGGGTTCACATCCCATCCTTACTGTCTGTGCCAAGTCACTTATACTCTCTGAGCCTATTTTCCTTATTTGTAAAATTGAGATTATAATACCTATAGTATAGTACTTATTCCCTCCTCCCCATCTTCCTCAGGTTGTAGAGAGACTCTATAAGCATTTTGAATGTCTTAAAACTAAATATCAAATATTAATTATCACATCCCGTAGTATACCTATGTGCACCCAGTGGGAACACAAACAACTACATTTAATTTGTGGAAGACTCAGAACAATGAAATAAATGTTGGTTTGCTATTTAAGCTTAAAATATTTTCAAATGAATCAGATCTCTTAAAGAATAAAGATAAGCTACTCTGATAATTTTTCATTGTCAAGGAGACTTTTAGTCTCTAGCCCAGGGGTTCTTAACTTTTTTTCTGTTGTGGAGTTCTTTGGCAGTCTGGTGAAGCCTTTGGATTCCTCAGAATAAAATTTCTTTCCTTCAAATTCATAATTGAATGAAATGCTAGATTTCATTTAGAATTTAGTGAAAATGAAGGTGCATTTTTTAAAAAATCCAAGTTCAGGGATCCAACGTTGAGAACTATGTTCCCTCTAGCTAATAGATTGATTGACACCTGTGTGGTTTCAAAGCAGATTTCTGAAACCCAGCTCATTCCTTTATGCCTACATAAAATTCTTAGAATTTTTTGATAAAGTAAACCTTCATTTCAAAAATAAACTTTGAAGTTTGAAAGTAAAAGCAGATAAATAGTTTCCCAGTGCAGAAAGTATTCTTATGCAGTGCTGGAAACCAAACCAGTATTTCAGTGGGCTGAAATAACAGATGATGATGTTCACATCCTCAGTGAATAGCATGTGTGTGCCAAAATCAATTTAGTCAATAGACTTAGACTGACTTAACTACTCTTTTTCTTTCTCTGTTTTTTTCCTTTTCTGAGTCTTATAGGTCTCTTCCTTCTTCCTACATTCTCTTTCCTTCCTTTTATTATTTCTCTCCCTTTTCTTTTTTTAAAATTTAATAGTATTTTATTTTTTTCCAATTACATGCAAAGCCAATTTTTAACATTCATTTTAAAATTTTGAGTTCCAAATTTTCTGCCTTCCTCACTCCCTCACCCACCTCCTCACTAAGACAGTGAGCAGTTTGATATAGGTTATGTATGTGCAATCATATAAAACATTTCCATATTAGTCATGTTGTAAAAGAACAAACAGGCCACAAGAAAAGAACCACAAAAAAATAAAGAAAGTAAAAATAATGTTTTGATCTGCACTCAAACTTTCATGCTTCTTTCTCTGGATGTTGGCAGCATTTTCCAGCATGAGTCCTTTGCAGTTGTTTTGGATCATTGTATTGCTAGGAAGAGCTCAGTCAATCATAGTTGATTATGGTTCAGTATTTCTGTTACTGTGTACAATTTCACTTTGCATCAGTTCACATAAGCCTTTCTAGGTTTTTCTGAAATCTGCCTGCTTGTGATTTCTTATGGCACAGTAATATCCTTTTACATTCATATACCACAACTTGTTTAGCCATTCCCCAATTGTTGGGCATTCCCTCAATTCCCATTTCTTTGCCACTCCGGAAAGAGCTGCTATAAATGTTGTACAAATAGGTCCTTTTCTCTTTTTTTTGGATCTCTTTGGGGTATAGACTTAGCAGAAGTTTTATAGCCCTTTGGCCATAGTTCCAAATTGCTCTCCGGAATGGTTGGATCAGTTCACAACTGCACCAGCCCGTACATTAGTGTCCCAATTTTTCCATATCCCCTCCAACATTTGTTGTTTTCTATCATACTAGCCAGTCTGACAGGTGTGAGGTGGTACCTCAGAGTTGTTTTAGTTTATATTTCTCTAATCAATAGTGATTCAAAGCATTTCTTCATATGACTATAGATAGCTTTGATTTCTTCATCTGAAAACTGTCTATGTCCTTTGACCATTTACCAACTGGTGAATGCCTTGTATTCTTATAAATTTACTCAGTTCTCCATATATTTGCTTCTCTTTTCTGCCTCCCTTTGCTTTTCTTTTTCAGTCTCTCTGCTGATCAAAATTTTGTCAAGAATAGATAAGGAGTGTGCTGTCCAGCATTCTCATTCTTAGGAACCGACCGACTCCATAGATGAACATATGAGCAATGGCTTCCAAAACTTTTTCAGTCCTCAGGTCACTTGGGCAAGATAAAAGACCCTCCAGCCCACCTCCTTACACACACACACACACACACACACACACACACACACAAACTGTCTGAACAACAAAAAAAACCTTTACAGAATTAATGAAAATAAATGAGATTAAGCCTACATTTGTTTTAGTGTCGTAAATAAATTATTCATGCTGACCACAAAATGACAGCCCACTCTGTTATCTTGCATATAGACATATGACATTCATGTGGCCAAATCTAAAATGGTAGCTGAGCCAAAAAAAAAAAAAACCAACCACCTACTGGGGCTCAGGAATGTGTTAGGTGTGGTTTATGCTTTTTTTTTTTTAAATGGAGTCAAGCTATGAAGAGCTAACTCAGGAATGAATAGAAAGTTGCCTACTTCCTCTTACTCCCAAACTCATGCTAAATATAGAGACACCCATGCCAGAGTAGCCCAGGGTGAGAATTTTTCATACCTTTTCTGGATTGGGGAAGTAATTACAGTTTGGATTTCAAAGGTCAGTTATGGAGTCAAAGGCTGAATTAGAGAATAAAAGTTAGCAAGCGGCAGGTAAGTGTCAAAAATGATGATAGTTTACTTTATGCAATTAGAATTTGAGAGTGGATTTTTAATGAGTAAAATTTATTGATGATATTAGAGCAGAGAACCTTTGAAAAGAAGGGTTCTATCTTGTGACTTCTTTCCATGCTGGTATGGGGTATGAAGTGGAAGGGAGGGATTTGACATATGAGCTTCAGAATCTTGGATAGCTCAGAGCATTTGTCATTTAGAAGCAAGAACTGAGGGAAAATAGAATCCACGCTGGAAACTGACTCTTACATTGATAGCCAGGGGTTTTCAACAGCACTGGGGAGAAAGTTGTGACAAGTCGCAGTGCCTACCAATGGAAATCAGCCTGAGTGCTCTCTTCGGTCCTTATGAGATAATGTGGATAAAGCACTTGGCAAACCTACATAAATGTCACTGTTATTCTTATCGGATTGCTCCTACTAGGTGTTGACAACAGCATCTTTTAAATTTACCCTCAACCGTAGCTGACCCACCTTTGAACCAACTGAAGGACCTACCTGTCCTTCCTACACATTTTGAAAATTACTGTAGGAAACTGGTAAAGGAAGTGTTTTTAAACCTGTGGTTCAGCTGGCATTGGAGAATTTCCATACAATGGAAGCTCCTGATGTCTATCCATACTTGTGATATTTTTTAACTAGACAAATTAATAGCTCTAAAAACCTCAGATGTTATAACCAAATTACTAATAGGAAGGCAGTGTCAAGACCACTGTGGTTTAGCATACAAATTCAACCACTGATTTTTCAGTGAAAACATGTGATGGTGACTTACTGTGTCAGTTTACTCATCTGTAGGTTAGTATATTAATACTTCACAGAGGTGTTTGGAGATTTGATTAATGCTTTTAGAGTACTTGGAAGTATTCCATAAAGCATAACATAAGAGCAAAATTCGTAAGAGCTTGGCCTTTAAAAACAAACCTGCCTAAGAGATGATAATAATAGCTAGCATTTATGTAATGCTTTAAGGTTTGCAAAGCAATATATATATATATATATATATATAAATTCATTTTATCTCCGCAACAACCCTGTGAAATAGTTGCTGTTATTATCCCCATTTTGCAGATGAGGAAACTTAGGCACAGAGAGGTTAAGTGACTACTGCACTGTCTTACCACTAGTAAGTGTCCAAGGCAGAATTCAAACTGAAGTGTTCCTGATTGCAGATTCTGTGCTCTCGCCACCCCTAGGAGATACCAAGCAGGTGTGTTCCGTCAACATCACCTAGTTTTCACGTGGGGGTCCTTAACGTCAGCGTGAGCTAGATTGTTGGTCATTGCCCGCTCCATCTGAAGGTAGCTGTCAGTTCATTTCAGAATTTTTCTTGCAAGGGATGTTGCTTCTTGCAAATATTTTAGATACTTTTTCTCAGCTGTCATTTATTAGTAAATCCAGTGTCATTTCAGTAACTCCTTGGGGGCGCAGAAAAGCAAAACGAGGAATCGAGTGACCTAAGTCGGTGCAAAATAAAGACAATGGGATTCTTCAGTGGTCGTTGTTTGAGGCCAGCATGGATATATTGGATTACTATTTACATTTTGCACGTTCCAAAAGTCTAAACTTTACCCCAGTCATCTAATTGCGTTATTGAAGTCATCTATTCTTTTCCCAGTTTTTCATTTTTGCTGGTGAGAAGCAAGCGGTGCTGCCACCTTGTAGCCAAAAGCTTGCCTGACTTGAATGTGTTTAAAAATCAAGTGAATGCCTGTTGTGCGGAGGAGCCTGCCCTTTCTCTTTGTCACTACTTGCAAAAACAACTTAAAAGACAAAGTTGGAGCTTCTGGCTGGGATTGTGTAATTAGCATAATCATGATGCTGTGCATTGTTCATCAGTGCACGCCCCTCAGCCAAATTTCCCATTAAGAGGACACCGATGTTGTCCTAGTGAATAAATCCCTGCACACATGATGCAAATCAGCGTGTTCCTGCCTGCTGTCCGGGACTGCAGTTAATTTTAGCCAGGGTTTGTTCTACAAGTTGTAAAACTGTTTACCCAAGTAGAAGCTCCAAGACTGAAATGTGAGTGCTCTGCCTAATATGATAGGAGCTCTATTTTAGACTTCAGATTGTATTTATGACTCTCAGAGCAGCCTTCTGAAGAATTGTTGGGGCTCAGGTTTCTATTGAAACGACCTGTAAGTACTGGGCGATTTAAAAAAAACAACTTGGCTTTGTTCCCCCCCCCCTTAAATCTGCTTGATATTTGTTAAAGTTTTAGTTACCTTTTGTCTCTTGGAGAACCTGGAAAGTGTGGGTGGGCACTTACGAGAAAGCAATGTGAACCGTTTAAAAATTTGTTTGTTAGCAGGTCTTTTTAGTAAGTGCAAATTTTCAGTGTTTCCAGTAGATGCTTAAACAACCCTCTCACCCTCAAAAAACTACCCCAACTCTAGCTTATGGTTAATGACCTATTTATTTATTGAGCTAGTTACAATATTTCATTAATGAAATGGTTCATGCAGTTACAAAAAAAAAAAGTTGTATGGTTAAACTTTATTCTCTATGGCAATCTGAATCTTTTAATAGCAATACTAAAATTAATTACTGTTATCAGTTTTCTTTTAGCTCTGAGTTTTTGCTAAAATAATGGAGTGTCAGATGTAATATTTTGTAGAGTTTGTACCATTTTTTAAAGGAGTTACTTGAAATGGATTGCCAGGAACGACTTAAAGAGGAGTTAGTACTTTTCATCAGAAGGAAGTAATGTCAAACATCTTCTGGAAGTTGCATAAAGTTAGATCTCTGAAGTAATGAAAATTCTGGGAAATCTCAGATCTTAACTTCTGTTCATCTAGCCAGTGTTCGTTACCACATGTCAGCTTAAATTTGGGTTGAAGATTGAAATAAAGATTTTAATAAAGAATGTCAGTGCTTTAAATGATTTGGATCCTCTTTCATGTTCTGAAATGTGTTTTAACTCAGAGGTCCCTGACCTCATGCCAGTACCGTGCTTGCAGCTCAAAGCCATGTAGGGATTTTCTTTGCCTGGTACCCCTTCAGTTGTACTACTGGCCTTAGGGATTTTAATCTCAGTGGAGCAGTTCAGGTGCTCCCCACATATCCGTATCTGAGAGGCTTCCATAACGAAGCAAGGGATGACAAGGTGTGGTACGAACTAGGAAAGGCAGTACAGTGTGCCCCACTTAAAACGCTGCTCTGCCATTATGTACTACTTGTTTAATAAAAGATTGAGAAAAGGAAGTATTTCCAGTGGTAATTTGTGAAAGGGTATTTTGACATAAAATAGGAAATAAAATAGAACTGATTTCTTTAACTATTTTTAGGAGGAAACTTTTAAACTGTTTTTACTGACTTGAAGATAGACAGTATAGATTAATTGTGGTTGTTGTAGTGGTCTCTCTCATTTTGAAATCTTTACTATTTAGTTTCAGTATTTTTGTGGCAATGCATTTATTTATCATAGGACATATTAAACCTGAGGAATCTAGTTCTCTATATTTTTATTAAAATCTTAAAGAAAATCACTGTTGATTAAATATTGATCCAGCTGGAGGGGACTTTATAGGTCATCTAGCCCTTCTCCCTTATTTTACAAATGAGGAGATTGAGGCCCAGAAAGGTAGTGACTTGTCCAAGGTTTAACGATACCGTAGAAAAACTGCTGAATTTGGAGCCTGAGGATCTGGGTTCAAATCCTGACTCTGTTACTTGCCCTCCTTGAGGCCAGGGGCAAGTTCCTTCACCTCTTTGTATCTCAGCTTCTCATCTGTGAAATGAGGGGGTCGAAGGTCCCTTCCAGTTCTAAATCAGTAATCTTAAATGATATCATTATCATTGGGATTCCGAGGCAGGTCTTCTAAATCCAAATCTAGGGCTCTTCCTACCACTCCATGGCATAACAGAAATGAATTTTAGGATATAATTCCTATTCTCTTGTCATTTAGGATATAATTCACTGTGATTGCCACCTTTGGGGGTAGTTCTGCATACAGATTTTTAAACATTTTTCCATTCCAGTGAAATTTCCAAAGAACTTGTAGCTGACACTAAAGTGTTTGTAAAATTAAATAATTTTAAGGAATTCTATGCATACACGATATGAGATGCAGAGAGCAGGTTAAAGCAAGAAGAGACTGCTTTACAGGGGGCAGTGGGGTCTGAGTGATTGTGATGCTGCTGAGCCTGTGGACAGTCTCACCCCCAGAGACGCGATGTGCCTGTTGGCAGTGGTAGTGATTACCAAGCCTGTCCAGAGGTGGTGGTGTCTCCTGATAGGTGGCTGGTTGTGACCTGGGCCATGCAGGACCATGCGTAAGGTAAGCTCCACTCTTGTGGAGCTCTAATCCAGGAGGCCTGTTTCGGAGAAACTTAGCCTCTGTCGCTATAGCAAGAGTCCAGGCCACACACTGCGTTGTAGCTGCATTGCACCTGCCTTCTCTGATGAGACTGCCACTTTCTTAGGAAAGCCCCAGAACATGGCTGTTCCCATAACATAGAAGCTTTTCATTTGCTGCTTCTAACAGGTTTGTTATTCCATTACTAGGCTCCTGTACACCCAAACATTTGTTCTTAAGTCCAAATGGGAATTTCTAGGAGGAGAAGGGGAGAATCCTTTCTCCCACGTCCCCTTCATCCCCTTCATCGCCTTCTGACCTTATTTGCCTCCATTGCTACTTGCTGACCATAATCTGTAACCATTGTATTTTGATTCATAGCAAAGTACTAGATCTGTGGCTATCTCTTTGTGCTGTTTTCTTTGAAAAGGGAATCCTGCAGTAAAGGGACTTTGTTATATTAAATAGTACCTGTTTTCTCTAAATTAAAAGAAATACTGAGCAGAGGGATGCCATCAGCATTGACTCTCCTCAGCACAACTTCATAGTGAAAGAATGGGGCTCTGTGAGAAAGTTTATTTTTTCTGCAATGGTATTGAAAACATGGGACTGCTGTTATTAGCATTTATTAGGCACCCACCGAATATGTACAGTGCACAAAGAAAGCACAGTCTTAGGTTTCAGAAGTCTTATATACTAATATTAGAAGAGGTACCTGCCCCTTCTCTCCCCCAACTCCACATACCATAGTAAGGTTGGAAGAGAGAGGCCATGGGAGAGAGGGAGCGAGGGAGAGAGAGAGACAGAGAGAGAGAAGGTTGGGGTAAAGAAGGGGCTATTTAAATGTTCAGTTTATCTGGGCTTCTGCCAAGTAGAATGAAGTTACAAGGTAACTGTCCAGGGATTGCTGCTTATCTCCTCCACTCAAAAGTTTAGTGACAGCTACTGTTCCTGTTAGGAGGCCTTACTCAATCATGACACCATTTTAGTTTTCTTGTTTCAGTTCTGTCGTTCTCTCTCTCTCTCTCTCTCTCTCTCTGTCTCTCTGTCTCTGTCTCTCTCTCTCTCACTCTCTCACTCTCTCACTCTCTCTCACTCACTTACACTCTCACACACAGTTTGACTTTGATGGCTACTGTATCCCTAAGTGAATGTAATGAACTTCTTTGTGATCTCAAGATAGGTGGGAGCTCTATTAAAAATAACATTAATAATAATAAATTCTGATTTGGGTTTCAGCTCCATTATTGGCTTGCTAGGTCTTTTGACAGTGAATCACTTCACTTTGCAGTGGCTCAGTTTCCCCATCCATAAACCTCGCATAATGCTCTGTCATCTATTCAGCTAAATAGGTTAACAAAATGCTTTGAGTTTCTCAGAAGAAAGGCATTACAAAGGATTACCAAGCATTATAATATAACATAAAGGGGTCGGATTGACATGAGTCAGTAGAGTAGGTCAAACAAGCGTGGATGCTGGGTATTAATAAACAGTAATAACACATACAATGTCTATGACTCAACCTTTCTATTGTTCTCATGTGCCTTGGTGATTTTCCTCTCTATAGCTGGAGCCCTTCACCAGTTTGTGTCAGTCTGGTGGAGGCTATGGATTCCTCTTCAAAATAATGTTTCTAATTTTTTTTTCTTTTTGGTGAGGCATTTGGGGTTAAATGATTTGCCCAGGGTCACACAGCTAGTAAGTGTCAAGTGTCTGAGGCTGGATTTGAGCTCAGGTCCTCCTAACTCCAAGGCCAGAGCTCATCCACTGTGCCACCGAGTTGCCCCCCAAAATAATGTTTCTAAATGCATAAAATGAAAAATTTAGCATTACAGAGGAAATCCTATAGTATGTAGTTATATTCTGCTGAAATATAGTTATCAAAATGTTACAAAAAATAAGTTCATGGGACCCCAGATTAAAAACCTCTCCCCTATTGAATGTCAGCTTCTTGAGAGCCGGTCCAGAAATATGTAATAAAAAGGTCACATGGCTAGTTAATAGCAGTACTAGCAACTAGAATCCAGAGCTCTTGACACTCCAGGCCACTGATGCATTTATCCAGGAGGATTTCAATGTAGTATTGTCTGAAGGCAAGAGATGACCTTTTACAGCCTCTTCTGGTCCTAAGAGGATATTATTTTGATCTGATAGTATCTTTTATCACTTGGGAAAAACCGCCAGCTAATCCTCATAATAATTAGGATTTCTTTTCCAAACCTTTATTTAAGTAAGCCTGCCTTAGATGAGAGTCAAATGAGATTCTCATTTCTAATAGGCAGCATAACATAGTAGACCAGACTTCAAGTCAAGGAGTAGTTCCTGGGTTCGAATTCTGCCTCAAACACTTGCTAGTTGTGGGACTACAGGCAAATCATTTAACTTCTCTGGGCCTCAGTTTCCTCAACTGTAAAATGAAGGGGTTGGACTCAGTGACCTCTCTCTGGTCACTTCTTGGGGAAGCAGAGTCATCCTTAACTTGTCTCCTTCTCCCTCCCATGTTACTATGTCTGTGATCCTTTGAGGTGACGTATGTGAAAGCAAGATCCCTATACAAAAGTCACGCAGTGGTGCTGGTGTCGTTATTGAACTCAACTCTATATCTATCATAAGAAGGAAGGTCTTTTGTGACAAAACTGGCGCTAGGAGTCAAATCAAGGAGCCTTTAATCTTGACCATTAGTCATTGCATTTGTGTCGAGGATGCCTACTAGGTAGGCGTGTTCTCTGAACCCATTTCAGAGAAGGCAACTATAAATTATCTTTGAGTAACACGTTCCAGTGTTGAGTACCCACTGTCCTTCAAGGGAGAACCTGCTCTATGCTGTCTTCCTCAAGTCA